ATCTCATTAAAACATTAATTACGTAAATATCAGTAACTGTTACACTTTCACACATTTCACTATTAGAAGGAAAACCTTATTTATAAAATTAGTTAGGTTAGTCGGTGGTAAATTATACTCGATCAAGAGTGTACTTGTATGAGCATGTTCTCCTTGCCAATTTGTCGATTCTGTATTGAAGGATTCTTAATCTGTGGTAGTAAGGTTGCAAGCATAAAGTTGTTGAATCCAAACAGCTTTTATAAATAATAGCCATGTCCATACTCCGGCAAATTGGCAAAAAGCATTTCGAATTAGCAACTTATTGGTAAGCATCCAAGAAACCAAGTAAAATTAATGTATTGTAGAAAAAGAGAGAAGCGTTATTCGATACAATCTCTCATTACAGGTTACCTTCTTTGGCAACATTTGGGGCTGCTAGTTCTCTAGGATTGCTATATATTACAGACTGGAAGGTAGTTCTCCAGTATGTACCCTATTATAGTGGAAAATTCAAGACAGAAGAATAATATGATGGAATGTGTAGTATATTTTGATTAAGAAGCCACTTACAAGTTGGCCAATTTCCAAGAGTTTCAGAAAACATTTTGGATGGGAGCAGTTAATTGGTGAACCACACTGGAAAGAGACTATATTGATAGTAGTAATGTAAAAATGTTATGGATATGTAAAATGTGCATGTTTACACCTGTTTTATAAGTGAAAATATAGCCTTACTAATTGAAACTTTTCCTTGAATCTTGTTATTTTAAAATAATACATAAGCATTTCATTCAGAACTAAATTACCTTTCTCTGAGACCATCCAAATACCCTAACAATTACATATGCAGTCCAAACTATTAGTTGCAATTTAAAAGTTTATGAATAATACATGGCAGAACGTTTGGGGACCATGCAGGTACTTGTGTTGACAGAGGAAGCAAGTACTGTTAAAGGTAAGATTTTCATAATTCAGTGTGTATCCTACAAAAATAAAATATGAATACAGCTCACAGGTGACATCATCCTGCAGAGAGAGATATCACAGTACATTTTTAACCTCTGTTAATTATGACCGAATCCAGGTTTCAATGTGAATTATGCCTCTACACTGATTGCTACCCAACTGTATCATAAAGGAAAGATGCAACATCAGAGCCTCTCAGGCTCTCTTGGGAAGTATTTATCACATGATGTAAGTGGTGGGGGAGAAGGGATAGAAGCAAAGAGGAAGCTTTTTTAGATGTCAAAAAAGTATTTACTTTTTTACATAGCAATGTACAGAGGTATTATTGAACAGCCAAGAGTGAGCCCTATTACAAAACAGACTGTCAGTGGAAAAACAGATCTATCAAATCTGAGGTATTCAGTAATATGCAACAGTAAAATAAATATTCCCCCTCTTTAC